CGTCTATCTATCTATCTATCTATCTCTCTGTCACCGACACTCCCGTTTTTATCATTCTAAACATATACAGTTGACTTTTTCATGATTGCATGTTCCATCAATTGCACTACTGATGGAACATAGCAATGATGAAATAGTTCTTCTTATCTTACTTCTCTTTCTCATTTAGTTTTATTACTGTTACATTTGTAGAGTTCGTCTCAACAATGTGTTTGTGCTTCTTCATTTTATGTTACTCATCTTAGCGCGGGACGGCGTCGTTCAGCAGTCACCTTGCAAAGGAGCCAGCGTGCAAAAGTAGCAAAAGAAGAGCGATAGTTCGCGTGGTTGCGCCGCTGTTACTCGAATTACCATGTTGCATAGCGGCTGGATGCTCACCTATGAACAAATTTATTGATTATGTAAAATTGCAAAAGAACTTTGAATGTTTAAATAGCTGTAAATTTTTCTTTATGTAATGTATTATTCCTTCTATGATTAATTTTTTAATTCTTACGAATGAACACAAATTAGGAATTATAGATGCTAACATTTATTTATAAATAATATTAATAATTTCATTTATATTTTTTTTTATTTATTTATAATTTTTAAATTTAATTATACGCATTAATTAGATTTTATTATAACTTACCAATTATTTACTAACCAAGTGTTCAAACTCATAAGTAATTATTATTAAATTCAGTTATGGATATAATACTATTTTTATTCAAAAATATTTTTGAATGAAAACATTGTGTTTTAAAAACAAAACCTAAAATTTAATTAGTTGTATAGTATTGTACATGTTATTTTACAGTTGTTATTGTGACATGAACAGTGATGTAAAAAACAATTTATACAAGGATTTGTAGAATTTGTATAATAAATAATATATTTATCCTTTACAATTCATTAAAAATATAAATGAACAAAAGATAAATAAAATAATTTACAAATAAATAAAAATAAACAAAATATTAAATATAAATAAAAGCTTTAATTTCTAATAAAAATTATGTTTTTATCAATTATAATTTTTATATGAAATATAATATTACTGAATAATATATATTATTAGTATTTTATTAAATCTATATATTGAAAGCTTTATTTGAATGTAAATACATATACTTGATCCTTTATATTCTTAAATAAAACACACATACACGCGCCTGTTAATATTATACTCTAATTACGAACACCAATAAAAATATTTATATTTGCATTGAAAGATTAAATAAAAATTGCTTTTACGGGTTAACTAAAAAGATGTGAAAAGATTGATATTCTATAAATGTAGGATTATATAATTTATAAAAAGAATTATATTAATTAATTTATTATACTATGTCGTAATATCTTATTTTATTGTATTACACTGATTTTCTAGATTTCTTTCAAATATGAAAGATACATTTCGTCTATAACTTAGATCAGCTTATTATTATAGTACTAAGGTCACTACAAAGATAATAGAATTTTATTTGAATAATGAAGATATATTATGGAATTTTATTAATTTTATTCAAATATGTTCGGGATTCAAGCAGTTGAAAGCGGTAATCCAAAAGTGGGAAAGGTATAAGCTCCCGGACATTTACGTTTATAAACACAAGTCAGCGAATTTGGGAAATTTCGCTACGCTGAAAACTCGAATATACGATTATAATTCTGAATAGCAATGTCGATGAACCTTCCAAGGCTATGTCCTACTGATGTCACGACAAAAATCGGCATACCAACAGACACCGGTGTGCTACCGGCGTCGCAAGCTCCTACGAGAATATTTACGAGCAGCGCTTGACGTGCATCTTCCTTGTGCTAGTACCAACCACGCAGTCTGTACGACGGGCTCACTATTCTACCTTCAAGCGTCACCACTACAGGCAACATTCACTGTAACTATTCACGTACGTAAGCATCAAGCAGTTCAACAAACCAATAGTGACGCCACATTATCAGAATCCGTTAAACTTAAACGTAAACTTATATTCAAGAAGCGCCAGTGCAAACATAAATTAAGAGTGAAATTAACGAAACTACAAGTACAAAATATATCAACGTATCGCAACAAAGATACAACACGGCGGCTCTCACTCCTACGTAAGCAGCAACGGCAACACGCACGTTCCTTACACCATAACAATATCGGCGGATCTCACGCCTACGTAAGCAGCAACAGCAACACGAACGATCATTACACCACACCAGCGACAGAGGCTCTCACGTTCACACCGGCGGCTAAGGCGGCATCGTATCACTCGCTCCTGTGGTACGCGCCGGCTACAACAGCGACACTTCTCGCGAAAGGAAGGAGTCACGCCTCACACTACTGAGAGTACGTACACACACACTCTCGCCAGCGCGTAAACCAATTGAAGAAACTTCATACATAAGTCACTCATACTCTCCATTCGTACACTTCTGTAACCATTGACTATTATTATATTATTGTATTTAATAAAGGCAAGACCAAGATATACTGTGCGTAGAATTGAATAATTACATTTGCCTCCTCCATTTGCCCGCAACACATTAATAAATAAAATTATTAATGTATATATATATATATATATATATATATATATATATATATATATATATATATATATATATATATATATATATATATATATATATATATATATATATATATATATATATATATATATATATATATATATATATATATATATATATATATATATATATATATATATATATATATATATATATATATATATATATATATATATATATATATATATATATACTTAGATATATACCAACATAAGTTTCCAATTATTATACACATGAATCTAATTGATATTAATATAATTGAGCTCTAAATTTTATTATATGTATACATATATGAATGCATATGTATATATATATATATATATATATATATATATATATCTGCATGTGTACATATATTTAGGTACGAATTGTCATATTTTTCTTATGCTGTTATTTAAACAAGGACATTAAACCAGTAATTGTTGATTGCTATCATATAAATCGATCAGATTCAATAATCCGTAGTATAGAAGGAATATTATTCTAATAAACGGATCATTCAATTTAAATATACAGTTTTATATAGTTATTCCTTATACTATCATTTATATAAATTATTATATAATTGATATTAAATTATTCTTTAAGTTAATAACTCAACAAATAATAGCAGTACTGCTAGTTATTGTAACTGGGATACTCAGGTGAAGAACACTAGTATGAGAATATGGTAATATAATGTCAATTTTTCTTAAGGAAATAAGATATAATATAAATATAAATATTAAAATTTTATCATTACTAATAGTTCCTTATTAAAATGTGAACTTTGATAATTATATTCAAATTTCTTTTTATTACAATATTTCTTTTGAATATTTTTCATTTAAGTTTATGAAAATTTCCAACTTCTTTTTTCTTTTATTAGATCGATTTCCTCACATAATTCTCACATTACCCATCTCTTTCGATTATGTAGCCTAATATAATTGAAAAAGCATTATATATTTTTTTATGAATGCAATAGATATTTAGAATGTAAACTAAATGGCTGAAAAATGTAAAAGAACTTTTTATGGAACTCTTAGCTTCAATAAAGAAACTCTAAGAACATCTCTCTATTAACAACTTTATGACATGATCGCAGATAAATACTCTATCTCTAAATTGTAAGGATATGCACTATAGGGTCTTATTGTTTACGAATGCAAAGGTCCTACAATCATTGGAAACTTTAACTGGTAAGTTTCCGCATAATCTGGCCCTTGTTTCTATGATATATCTGTTCAAAACTCGTTTTCATTTTTTTCCATCGATATTTATCTCTTTCTCCTTTGTTCCAATATATAAGATGTACTATTTCAGCTTGTATTCTAGACCTTAATGTTCAAGTTTCCTCTCTAGCTCTCGTACCCCAACACGTATACCTTTTCAATGCTTGCCACCGGTTTCCCTTTATTGTTTCCTCTCTCACTCTTGTATGAAAGATTTAGTATCTCCTCCTCCTCATTCAAAATTAATTCGTGCTTACGCTTTACTTTGAATAGTTCTCAGCTTGTCTAAGGGGCGGTATCTCACATATTGTTAAACCAAAAGCCCTGAATTCCCATAACCTAACTATTCTACAAATTTATAAAATTTATCCTCTTCTCCTTCCACACATATAAAACATATTCTGATTATAAATTCTATTCTATATAGCGATCATAATAAATACTAACAAATAATCTAAATATCCAAATATTTTATTTTATTATAATTGAAAATACAGTCTTTTTAATAATATTCAAGTTTCTTAGTTAATTATTAAATTAGAAATATAATAATATTGAAAGTTCTATGAATGATTATAAAATTAATAAGGCATATAACTAATTATTTTATGTAAATAAGTAAATTATTTTAATTGAAGTACTCCTGTGTAAATATATATCGCTACAATAACTACTGCATAAAGTTATAACATTGGTACAATAGATTTTTTAAGATTTTCTAATTTATTTTTATTTTTTAAATGTTTGTACAATTCAAGTCAATAATATCTAAAAAATTTCATTATAAAAATTAATGTTGTTTGTTACTTTATTAAAATAAATTTGAAATAAATAATTTTTTATATATGAAATTTTTGATATGTTTAAAAATATGTTAGATTGCATTAGTCATATAATAAATGTTCACATACTGATGTATTTGAGGCAGTTATTTATAAATCATAGATATTTTATTGTAAAATTGATGTTTAAGTTATTAAAGAATTTGCAAACTTATAAGTTATTTATAAAATTTATATCACTGTAGTCAATAGATTATTTTTAATCGTAGAAGGTATAAAAAATAAGAAATTTTTAAGCAAGAAAAAATTATTTTAATAAAGTTGAAATGTTCAGTCTTGAAGTGGTGATGAGAGCAATTCAGTTGAGCCACCGCGTAAATTTCCGTTTGAGTACTTAAATTTTCGAGCTCCACAGATACTACGTAGACCACCTTCCTTTCAATAATAATCTTTACTAAGAATTTACAGAAGTTAAAACTTATTTTGAAATTTCTAATATTTTCAAAGTAAAGTTCTTCATTAACATTAAATTTTTTATTTATTTATTTTTAACACAAATTTTTTATACTCTAATTGTATATTTACTAACATAGAATAAGCAATTGTATTATAATAAAATTACTATGTCGATAGTATCTTATAAATGTATATGCAGCCATGAAAATTGAGTATTATTATCATTAAATTTTAATCACGTTTTTTTTTAAATTACTTATAAATGTACTAATATTTCATCATTAAGTATGACACAATGTACAACCGATAAAATTAAAAATAAAACATTATTGAAACATATCACAGATATAAAAAAAGCATT